TTTCTGAAGTATGCAAGGCTTGTCCCAATTTACAATGACTAAGTTTTGAAAATAGTGGGTCATGTATACTTAACAATAAAAATCTAGAAGTGCTTCTAGCTGAGTGCCTCAATTTAAAAAGACTTATGATAAGAGGTTCTAGTCATATAAGCCTGAAAACATTTTTAAAAATTCCAAAGCTGGCTCCTAGTTTGAGAATGATAGAAATTAGGAATTGTTTATAAATTAGAGAAGACATAATAAGTGATTTTCAAAACTTATACCCAAAAATAAAACTCATTTTAAAAGAGGAATAGCCTAACGATAATCTGGACTAGTATCAGGAAAGATGAGATATCATTTTTTTTTATGGAGCAATAAATATTAAAATATAAAACATAACACTCGAAATGGCATATATAGAATGCAAAATATGGCCTTTTTTCGATAATATAATGCATCAAGAAGAGCGTTGAGAGGTAATAGAAGCAGGATATAGGCATTACACAATCAAAGCATTAATTGATATATCATCTAATACAAATAAAATTAGCAGAAGCATAGCCGATAGGCTTGAAAGAAAATATGGTAATCATTATAAGAATAAAAAGGTGATAAACTCATTAGACACTATAGATTATCAAGATTTATCCTTCTGATATAAGGGGAAAGATAGACTACTCGCTGGTAGTGATGAAACTTTTAATGATTTTGAGGTTAATAAAGACTATTATATAAAAGCTGATCTTGTATTAGGATTACCATAGCTATGGCTTCATAAAGCAGAAATTGATATACAGAAAGAAGGGATAAAAATCTATGGTTATTTTGTATCATTTTGCAAATATCTGAATAATGACAAGTCTTTTCATAATTCCGATTCTGAGACAGAGTCATCCGAGCTTAAGAAGAAGGTTAAAAAGCTAGAAAGAACTGTAGATTAGATAGGAAATTATGTAGAAGAATAAACTGGTTTAGAGTCAGGCAAAGAGATTTCATCTAATTCAGATTATGAATATGAGCTATGCGAAGTGCCTACCAGCTCAGAAAAGAATATTTGCAAAGTAAAGTGTGTGAAGAAAAAATCTGGCATTAAGAAGACGAAACCTAGAAGGAATCCAACCCAAGCAGTACAATCAAACTAGTCCAAAGCAGTAATCAACTAATTATTGCATATTTTTTTTCTTCTCAATAATTAAACTAATTTCCATAATATAAGGTAGAAATGGAAAGCGAACGCCAAGCTGAAAGGATCCCAGAGAGACTAAGTGAAAAAGATTTATCCAATAATTTGCCTAGCAATCTGAAGGAGCTAACCAAAGTATTTGAGAAAAATTTAGAGGTATTAGAAAATATGATAAAATTGTTTAAAAGTGATGTGAGTAAAATGTTTGATATTTTCAATCCCAATTTCTCAGGCAGTTCGATTAATGCTAGTCTGGAGAAGTGATTAGCAGCTCAGAAGAATTTGCCAAGTCACAGATTATGTAACAATTAAATTGATCACAATACAAGTCTGTGCAACTAGAAAAATTTCTTATATATCAAGCAAAAAGAAATTATATTAACTTCCTATTCTTATTTTTTCCGAACAAACATGAGAAAAAAAATGTAAAGGAAGGTTTAGTTGCAACGCAGGACTAACTCTAAAAGTAAATAGTGATGACAAAAGCATATGTTATGAAAGGCTGAAGGACTCGTAATTTCAAGATCGTCAGGCGTAAAGCTAACTATATATCTCTCCGGTAGATCTTCATGTGAAAAGGTATGAGGATTCCGTTTACATGTGCTTTCATAGAACTCTTGGTATCATACGACAATGCTAATCATTATTTTATCCCTTATCTTTTTTCCAGTAAGATATAAAGCATGTAAAAGCATGTAGAAGTTCGATCAACATCCCTGCAAAAAAAAATTAAGGTATGTATATACCAAAAGTTATATATGTACAAGAGCAAGTTTTTCTCACCATAGATCTTATATTTAGAAAAGCAAGATGACTGATAAGACCAAGAAATCTGATAAGTTCAAGACTCCTGACAAGCTTGACAAGTTTCTCGCCGGTAGAAATATTTCTCTTAACTGTCTCATTTCTGATAAGGGAGTAAATGATATTTTCGAAGTAACAATATTTAACGCTAATAACAATAGAGTCTCTTTTCTCACGGAGGCAATCAGAACCCATCATCTAGATCGATTTCAAGATATAGATTTGACCAATTTGGCTTTATATAGGATCGCACTTATAGCTGATAGTATCATAATCAACAGTTTAAGAAACATCAGTGAATTTGAAGTAGAAGGTGCAATAAGAATGGAACCGCAAGATATAATTTTTACTTATTTTCCTATACAACCCTAACGTATCTTTGGTGGTGAAAAGGGAATCAATGTTATTGTGTACTCTCCCACTGAAGGGATGCCAGAAGTACTAAGCAAAGATAGTTAGGAATTTTTTTATTCATATCATGTAATAATGATATTTGCGATTTTTATGTATTGTAGGCTGGGCTCTGACAACGTTTTATTTCATAAATAAAATATCATTTTACGTGATTCTTTCAGAATCTGTTCTTGTCGTAAATCTTGAAAAATGTCACGTGTAATGATGTAATATAATCGTCTGACAATCCTGTACTACATCTTAATTGCATATATATATATATATATATATTGGACAAAAACATTATGAATTGATACAAAAAATCTATTATTTCTATCCGAGCACTAGAAACCAAAAATACTTTTATATTTATAAATCAGCTTTACCTGTAATTGCAGTTGAGTTGCATATTTTTTCGCAAGCACAAACTCACATATAAAAAACCATGTCTTCACAAGCTTCTTTATCAGCTTCACCCGCCTCAATAACGGAAGAAATTTCCACTAGAACAATATCAGATGTGGTTAAGGATTTTAATACAGAGGAGCTTATCGATTATTTGGAAAGAAAAGACTTGAAACTCGATGAAGATGATATTAAATTCTTCGTAAAAAAAAATATCTGATCTTGCCTTTCTTAATACAACTAAAGAGGATTTTCAAAATTATGACTTGAAAGCTGGTCCTGCAACAACACTAGTAAAATTTATCAAAGGTCTTGGTCAGAAGCTATGAAACTATTTCTCGCTTAAAACTCTTGATGACCTGAAGGAAATGTTACGTAGAAATAAGGTCAATAGTGAATATATAATAAGCATTAAGCAATTTACTTCCGGTGAGTGATTATTTTTATTTTATATCTACTCTAGAATGGTCTATCATAAATATAGTAATAACCACTTATTTTTCTTCACAGTCTTCGAGAAGATTAATGATGATGATAAGGCTCCCGATCACTGTATGGAGGATATAATCTTAAAACTTTCAAATGTGAAAACTATGACTGACGCCAATGAGGTGACACACTGTGAATTTATTTTATTGATTTTCTATGCATCTATCGCTATAATTAAAAAACTTACCTCTCAAGATATATATATTTATAGTGTTTCAAAAGGACGTTTCCAGTGAGGATGCAACAGGTCGAGTAGACTACACAATCAAAAGTTTAGAAGATTTTCTTTGTATTATCGAAGGAAACCACGTAATATTAAGATTAGATATGCTCAGGTAAGAGTGCTTGTCTTCTTAGTCTATAGGGATCATTTTTATTTTTTAGAATCTGGCTCAGCTTGAAAGTG